CACAAATAAAGGCAAACCTTTTACAATTCCGATTATCTTTAGGACTAAAAGGAGTAGTTGCTTCCACTGTTAGAAGGAAAAAATTGAAGTGATTGCGCTGCATGCGCGCACACAGTTGAGCATTGCTACCTTGACAATACAGCCTGTTCATTATCATAATAAAATAAATAGTCAGTCAAACATATGGAAAAAAAACACACACTACTCAGTTTAAATATGTAGTAAAATCTGTGCCGTTAAGCGTTATCACTGTACTGCTGTGATGTTATGCAAAACATAAAATAAAGGCAAACCTTTTACAATTCCGATTATCTTTAGGACTAAAAGGAGTAGTTGCTTCCACTGTTAGAAGGAAAAAATTGAAGTGATTGCGCTGCATGCGCGCACACAGTTGAGCATTGCTACCTTGACAATACAGCCTGTTCATTATCATAATAAAATAAATAGTCAGTCAAACATATGGAAAAAAAACACACACTGCTCAGTTTAAATATGTAGTAAAATCTGTGCCGTTAAGCGTTATCACTGTACCGCCGTGATGTTATGCAAAACATATAGTTTTACGTTGATATTGGAATGCGAGTGAAGTAGGCTACATAATAAATAATAATTTGCCATCCAAATACATCGCAAATACGGAAACATTTGATTTTGTGTCGAATGAGAAACCCAACGCTGGTTTCAGTTTCGTTTTAGCCTAAATGAATTAGTTTTGGCTTGTTGTTTATATTGCTATAGCTTCTTATATTTATAATTCTTGTTCTTTTCAAATTACTGTTAATTGAACGGATTTGTTGTGGAGTGAGGGGAACTAAAATAGCCTAGCTATGTTTACAGTGTTTATTATCGAGTCGGCATTAGGTCAATTTCTGAATGAAATAAAATGTGATTTATACGCAACTTATGGTTTTTTTTTTCTCTAAAAAACTTTTTTTAATGCGCATAGCGTATTTTAACCATTATAACCATTTTTATAAATTACTGAACATTTTTTATAAATAAATGACTTTTTAAACTGTTTAACTGATTGTATTAATCGGTCAAAATTCGTACGGTCGGTTAACGGTTAACCGGTTAAAATGAACATCCCTAGTCCAAAACTGCTTAAAAACTGGCCTGATCAGCTATCCACCTTGGTTTAAGCTGTTTAATGTTTATGTTTTTTTAAGCTTAGGTTTTTCATCTAATATTTCTATTTTATTTTAGCTTTATTTAAATTAATTGTCGTTTTTAAAATATTTTATTTAGCTTTATTTTTATAATACATTTTTTATTTCAGTTTTAGTACTTCAGCTTAAACTTATTTTATTTCAGTTAGTTGCCAAGGTAATATTTCTAATCTTCGTTCCAGTTTTAATCTAATACTTTTAGTTTAGCTTTACTTCAGTTACTGAAAAGTTTTTTTTTACCGTTTTAGATAACACTGTTAAGATGACCTGTCTGTTTCGGATCAGGCTGCATTAGGAAAACTCACAGGGCCTTGTTGTTTCTTTGAGTTCTGTTTCTCCAGAGTCTTCCTGTCAAAAGGCTTGCGTACAGTTGTTGTAGGAAGATTATCAGGAAAGAAACTGAAGCTCTGAAGTAAATCCAACACGCGAGTGTGCTCATCTTGGAACAAGGACACCAGATTTCCTTCTGTACCACCCAAACCAGACAGCTAGACAGATGTAAACACATAACATTAAGTTTAAAAGAACTAAGAGGGCCGAAGACCTCACAGGAATGTTACAGAGCATGATAAAGCTATGTCCTCACCTGCAGCAGTGGAGTGAGCTCTCCCAGCGTGAGTGCAATGAAATCTCTCTGGGCCTGGGTGAAGCCCCTTACGCAGCTGGTGAACAGATCTTCGGCTGCGCGGTGGAACTTGGGCAGCTCATCCAGCAGCTGGGCGTTCAGAGCTTCGTAGTTATTTCTCGCCGTCTGCAGTTCCTCCTGCACACGCTTGTCCTTCAGCCTCTCTGCACGCTCCTTACAGTTGTCGTAGTCCAGCAGCTTGTCTCTACGTTTCTGGATTAGTTTGTGGGGACCGGCGAACATACTGAGCAGCTGGGTGAGGGGAGTGATGACTAGGGCTTCTGTCCTCTCCTTCTGCTCAAAGAGAGACATGCAGACATGCATTTAGAAAGATTTGAGACATATTTCATGCCAGTATCATGTGCTTAATTCAAATTAATACTGAATGGTGAAAAAATACAATAAGTGAAATAACTACTAGAAAAACAAAACAAAATGTATGTATGTATGTTTGCTTACTGCCCCAAGACAAAAGAGCCTTTCTCAGTGATATCTGTCTCTCTATTTGGCCCGTTTTGTCATACACCCAATGTAAGTCTATTCGCTTAGAAATGCGTTTGAAAACACAATGAACCAATGTTACTAGTGACCACGAAAAATGACTGATTGCTGCTTAAATTGATAGTCCCCCCAAAAATGAAAATTCTGTCATTAATTACTCCCCCTCATGTCGTTTTAAACCCGTAAGAACTTTGTTCATCTTCGGAACACAAATGAAGATATTTTTGATGAAATCCGAGAGCTTTCTGAACCTGCATAGTAAAGATATCATTAAAATAGTCCATATGACATCAGTGGATCAACCGTAATTCAATGAAGCTACGAGAATACCTTTTGTGTGCAAAAAACAAAAACAATGACTTAATTCAACAATTTCTTCTCTTCTGTGTCAGCCTTCGACACGCATTCACGAGAGGTTGATCCACTGATGTCACATGGACTATTTTAACGACGTCCTTACTACCTTTGGGCCTTGAACGTGTCAGTTGCATTGCTGTCTATTAGGGCTGGGCCATATGGGCAAAAATTCATATCTTGGTATTTTTGGGCCGATTTGTGATATACGGTATATATCTCTGTATTTTCGTTTTTGTATTTGGATTAATTCAATGAAGCTACGAGAATACCTTTTGTGTGCAAAAAACAAAAACAATGACTTAATTCAACAATTTCTTCTCTTCTGTGTCAGCCTTCGACACGCATTCACGAGAGGTTGATCCACTGATGTCACATGGACTATTTTAACGACGTCCTTACTACCTTTGGGCCTTGAACGTGTCAGTTGCATTGCTGTCTATTAGGGCTGGGCGATATGGGCAAAAATTCATATCTTGGTATTTTTGGGCCAATTTGTGATATACGGTATATATCTCTGTATTTTCGTTTTTGTATTTGGATTAAAAAAAATCTGTATTTAATATATATATTTCACTTACCTCCCAATGTTGTCCAACAAAACAATACATATTAAAGGCTATGAAAACAAAGTTTTAACATAAAGTGAATGTAATCATGTAAGCCTTTATATACACATATTATGAGCAAAAAAGGGTTAAAATCCCATTTCATTCTAACATTGTAACATTGCAATCTAAAAACAAAAATAAGGCTTTTAAAGCGGAAGTTAACTTCACTAAACTAAAAATGAAAATAAATGAGAACAAAAACGGTTTTGATTAGCCCATTACAGTCACTTTACAGGCAGTGCTATCATAAAAATAGACTTACTTGTAGGTTTAAAATTCTACACATCACATTTATTGTCCAACTACAAATATTTCAGAAAAATTTATATTTTAGTCAGAATTATTGTGCTCCTATTTAATTGAGCTGTCTGTTTGGCGTGCATGCGCGCGGCGGCGCGCGTTCACTGAAATCGGTGAAGTTTAGCAGAGAATCCCAAAGCAGAAGGCTCATGCACTTCTGACAGAAAAATGGAAATATTTCCATGGCTTTCTAACATTTACAAATGGAGAATATACCTGTGAAATGTAAGTTATGCATTCAGGTAGACAGCACATCTCAAACACATTAAACAGGGCGAGTAGCCTAGTGTCTCTGTCAGCGGCACATGCAGCCTTTATGTCAGAGCATATGACGGGCCGAGCCGAAATGAAACTATAAACTATGTCTTACCAGTTTTTAAAGGCCTTAATATAAAGCTTGTCACATGTTTAGAACAATTTGGATTCTACAAAAAAGCACAAACTAAAATTAGAAATGTTGACTTTCGAAAATAACTGAAACTGAAAAAAAAATATTGACAAAATTAAAAGTAAAATGAAAACTGAATATATATATATATATATATATAAAAACGAATTCAAAACATCTGCCACCCAAATGTCGTTCCAAACCCGTAAGACCGTCGTTCATCTTCGGAACACACATTAA